CCACAATTAACAAATAGAAATAACTATTCTATTGCAATTGCTATGATTAGTGATCATAATTTAAGTTTGTGCATGTTATTTTGTAAGCATATGAGTTTAGATTCTTAAATTTAACATTATTTGAAAGAAAAATTTTACGAAGAAGATGGGTGAAAAAATAATTTTCCTCTATAAATTAATAATTATTAATTATTAATTTATAGATAAATTAATATCACGATAAAATAATAAAATATCATAGTCCCGACATTATTAATCTATTATATAATAGGAGAGTTTTCTCTCATTTTAGAGTGTCCACATCAGCATCATTAAAAAGAGTCTATTTTAAATATTTATTTATTAAAACATAATTATATTTATTACTATATTTCAAATTTATATCAGTAAATTTTAATACTAAACTCATAAATTTAGAATGCTATACAGATTAATGAATAGAATAAAATTTAATTGATATAAACTGGACTATATATATATATATATATAAATAAAAACAAGATATTGTTAAAAACTGAAAGAAAAAAAGTTAGAGAAAACAACAATAATAAATTAAGAAGATGATGAAAAAAATAAAAATAGAAAAAGGAAAATAAATAAAAAAGACATATATGAATATGAAGAAGTAAAAGAAGAAGTATACATACACCAGATAAATAAAAATAAGAGATGAAAAAAAATTAGGAAAAAAACTAAAAAAAAAACTGAAAAAAGAAGATAAAGAAAAACATAAAGAAAATAATAAAGAAAAAGAAGAAGAAGAAGAAATCGAAGACGATCAAGAAAAAATAGAAAAAATAAATAAATAACAAGAGGAAGAAGAACACGAAGCCGATGAAAAGAAATTTTGGAAAATACGAAGATTAGAACATTAAAAATAAGAAAAAAGAAGGAAAGATGAAGATAATAAACTATAAAAATATGAAAATAGAGAAAAAGAAAAAAAAAGTTAAATTAGTTATTCAACAATTTGTAATAATAGATATTATTTTGTACTTCTTTTTTCAAATTTAACATCAACATATAAATCCGGGCAAAGCACAGAATCAATATCTAGTTTATAGAAGTTTTAGTGTACTTCAGAATTTTTGGGCCTTAGGTTTGGTTAGCGCCGACTCTATATTGAGTGATTCGTATAATTGTATCCGTCTGTCTCTCCCTCAGATCAGCCAATACAGCACGATCATGATGAAAAGAGGAGTAAAAATTCTAGATTCCGTCCCCATTGATCTCTTTCTCGAGATATTCTCGAGATTGCCTTCAAAGTCCATCTCTAGGTTTCGTTGCGTGTCCAAGCTATGGGGTTCCATGCTTCATCGTCAATATTTTTTTACAGAGTTGTTCTTGACGAGATCCTCGGCTCGTCCACGTCTCTTATTCATCCTCCAAGGACTCCGCGAGTGTAGCGTATTCTCGTCGCCTCAGCTTCAGAATCCATACGGGAAGTCGTCGTCTCTTGTAGTATCTGCCGATTTTCACGTCAAGTTCTCTAGAGACATGTGGCCTGCAGAGTTTTGTGGCTTTACCTGTGGTTTGATATATTTCTATAGCATGCGGATCTCAGAAAAGAAGGGTGATGATAAAGTGCCTGTGATATTTAACCCTACAACGAGACAGTATGCGAGCTTACCGGAAACGGACAGATTTTCTAGAAGCTTTTTAGGGTTTGATCCGATTGACAAGCAATTCAAAGTATTGTCCATGCCGTTTCCAAAATTTTCTAATGATCATAGGATTCTGACATTAGGAACTGGAGAAATGAGTTGGAAGAAGATCCAATGTCCCTTAATCCATTATCTTTTGAGTAAAGAGATATGCATCAATGATGTTTTGTATTATTTAGCTGAAACGTCAGATGATGAAGAAGTCTCTATTATAGTAGTTTGCTTTGATGTTAGGGCTGAGAAATTCAAAATCATTGAGGTAGAAGAATCCTTTTATTATGCTACATTGATAAACTATAAGGGCAAATTAGGTGGGATTAGACAAAAGTATGATGGAGATAGCAATACCTTGGAGTTGCATATGTGGGTTCTAGAGGATGTGGAGAAATGGTCAAAAAATGTGTACACTTTGCCGGCTGATAAAATCGTTGACTTCCGCATTGTTTCCGTCGTTGGAGTGACAGCTACGGGTGAAATTGTTTTGTCGATGAGACATACATCTAAATCGTTTTATGTTTCTTACTTCAATCCCGAAAGAAAAACTCTCCAACATGTTGAAATTCAAGGTTTTGGAGCATACTATGATGAGAATCGTCATAGAGTTGTTACCTTTGTAGACTACGTAGAGGATCTTAATGTTAACGATGCAAAGTACCTCAAGTCAAGCCAATGCTTAAATATCACTAGGCAAAGGCCAAAACTACCAAAACCACAAAACAGAAGAAGAAGAAACAGAGGACAACCTTGAGTGAGGACAGGTGTTGATTTGTTGTTGGAGGATAAGCCAAATTCATGCATGTCCAAGAAGAGTCTACCTTGTTTTGGCTGTGAGTGCGTGTGATCACTTCTCATTAATTTACAGGTGTGAGCTTTTTCACTCGGTTGGCTTATTAGCGGTTTTTGTTCTTTCTTGTTATCAAGTTCATGTCCTAATTGTTACACATATACTTTGGAAGCAAAAACTCTTTTTCCTTAATGTCAATATTCTCTGCTATGGGATATGAAATGCTTCTTTCTTTCTCTCTGCATGCATTTTCTTTAAATTTGGATTCTCAGAGATAGAAGTAAACACTTTGACGGTGTAAGAGAAACTTGGATTCAAATTAAAGTCCAAGACTTAATTTCAGAAAAAAAAATGGCCTTGGTAAAAGGTTAATTGGTGGCTCTGTACGTAGCAGAAACGAGGAAAGAAATTTAAGCACAAAAAGGGTTTCTTGTAGTCTACGTCCAGAAGAAGAAGCAGAAATAAATTGTGCTTATTGTCTTACTTGAAATGCAGAGATCACCAATTTCAATTTTTTTCTCGTCTCATCGCCAAATCCATCTTTCCAAACCATATCCACATCCTATAAGATTCATTTGTTATGATGATAAAACCAGACCAAGTCTTTACCTTTCCCTATAATTTCCTCCATGGCTGTAGACTTTATCTGACCTAAATTTCCTCAAGAGTCTCAATTGGCTCTTGACCTCCTATTCCAGTTTCTTAATTGATCGTCGGTTCCTTTTGATTATCGAAGAATTTAAAAGCTTATCCTTAAACAATAAAACATAAGAGAGAAGGTACAGGCTCCTTGAGAAACCTATTAAAGTAATCAAGGAAACCCTGGAGAAAGTTATGAGACTATTTTAGAGCAGAGCCGAAACAAAAAGAAATTGGATATCATCAAACATGTGAGGTCTTCGTAAAATGACATAAACTTTAGGCTGAAGAAGACGTCAATATCAGCTGTTGATGTTGAGATTGGATCTTTTTTGTTTTGACTCTCCAATGGCATGTACTGAGACATAATCACCATATATGATTTCTGAATCCATATAAGACTGCATTATAGATTTTGACACACAAAGAAGGATTACCATGTGAGAGATGCATGATTATCGATGATAAATTTGAAGGTTCTTAAAGAGAAGCAAATGTGTGAAAGCATACCATGACACGATACTTGTAGAATACGTAACAAGCTACACATATCCCTGAAACTGCAGCTAGGATGACAAATGTTGAAGAACCATCCGGTTCTTGATGCGCATCTCTTTGTTATAATATTGATCTTGAATTGTTTCAAAAGAATCTGAGAAAGTTTAGATCTCTTTATTGTTTCTTTTCGACGGATACAAGTGTCTTGTTCTTTCATATAGAGACGATTGCCAGAGCATTTGCAATCAAAGTCTCCCCATTTTTTCTTAAACTTGCATCCACCACATTGACAAGCTGATTGCACATTCATCAACGTCTAGTAGATGAATCAGTTTAAGATAGGGAATTTTGAAATTTTAGTGGGAGAAAAAGCATTCAACTTCACATTTAAGACCATCTTCTTTAAAGCCTAGTCAGTAAAACCTCTAGGGATCATGATATTTTATTAATTTATCGTGATTTTAAATTTATCTATAAATTAATAATTATTAATTTATAGAGAAAAATTGCTTTCCGCATATAATTTTCTAAAAATTTATTTAGAATATTTTTATATTTTAAAAGCTAACAAATATTATAATATAAATTATGATTAAAAATCCTAACTATCACAATAATATAAGTTTTCACCATATTGGATTGTCTATATAAAAATATACATGTTCATAAGTTTAAAATTTATAAAAAAAAACTATGACTACTATGAATATTATTGATGATAAAATTGAAGATAACACTACAATACATTTAAAAACATTTACATGTAAGAAAATCAATTATCACATCAAAAATTCATCATAAATTTTGAATGTATATAGTAAAACAGCAATAAGAACTACTGATATAATATTTAGAGAGATGAGAACCAATCAAATTTCAACTTTAACTAAAAACAAACACATTAGTCATATTTTAAAATATTAAATTTACATATATTTACGTAAATTTATATAATTATGTTTTTGTTGAGACCATATATTTACCTAAGGGTTTCAAAAAAAAATTATTATCTTATCGAATTTGATAAATTTTTACATTAGCCCGACTTGGGACCAGCAAAATTTATTAATTTATAGTGATTATTAATTTATCGAGTATTAATTTATAGAGTATTAATTTATAGAGGTTCTACTGTAGTTGTGAGATGTTCAAACCAAATTACGAGTTTTGCAAATTGGAGAAATCACAAAACTATTCTCTTGAACCGAACAGTGATCTTGAAAACATTTAACAAAATTTGTAACCGGAGAAAACCAAACCATATTAGTCAATACCATACTGGAACTCGTATTTATTGGATTACCTTGTGGTACTTCAGATTTTTGGGCCTTAGGTTAACGCCGACTCTATAGTGAATGACTTGTACTCGTATAAACGTATATCTCTGCCCTCTGATCAGCCAATACAACACGACCATGATGAAAAGAAGAGAAGATATTCTAGATTCCATCCCGCTTGATCTCTCTCTGGAGATATTCTCCAGATTGCCTTCAAAGTCCATCGCTAGGTTTCGTAGCGTGTCGAAGCAATGGGGTTCCATGCTTCATCGTCAATATTTCACAGAATTGTTCTTGACAAGGTCATGGGCTCGTCAACGTCTCTTAATCACTCTCGAAGGAAACGGCGAGTTTAGAGTCTTCTCTTCGCCTCAGCTTCAACATCCATATGGAAAGTCCTCTTTTGTAGTCGTATCTGCCGATTTTCATGTCAAGTTCTCCTTGCCTGCAAAAACTTGTGGCCTTACCTCTGGTTTGATCTGTTTCTCTTACAATTCAATAAACAAGGTTGAGAATGCATTGGTGCCTGTGATATTTAACCCTACAACTAGAAAGTATGTGAGTTTACCTAAACTGACAAACAGTTCATGGTACAAAGCGTTTAATATCTTCTTAGGGTTTGATCCAATTGACAAGCAGTTCAAGGTATTGTTCATGCCTTATCCAGAATTTGGTAATGAAAATAGAATTCTGACATTAGGAACTGGAGAAATGAGTTGGAGAAAGGTCCAATGTCCTTTATCCCTTTATCCTTTGAATAAATGGATCTGCATCAATGGGGTTTTGTATTACTTAGCTGATCGCATGTCAGATGGTAAATGGCCTTCTTTAATGATAGTTTGCTTTGATGTTAGGTCTGAAAAATTCAAATTCATCGAGGCAGAAGAATGCTTTTATGCTACATTGATAAACTATAAAGGTAAATTAGGTGGGATTAGAGAGATTTATGATAACGATAGCAATACTCTTGAGTTGCGTATGTGGGTTCTAGAAGATGTAGAAAAACAGGAATGGTCGAAATACGTCTACACTTTGCAAGATGATGAATTCGTTGACCTCAGTTTTGTTACCGTCGCTGGAGTGACAGAAACAGGTGAAATTGTGTTGTCAATGTATAAATCTAATCTGGTTTATGTTATCTACTTCAACCCCGAAAGGAGTACTCACCAAAGTATTGGAATCCAAGGTTTTGGAGACTCAGACTACAATGATGTGAATCGTCATACTGCTTCTGTCTTTGTTGACTATGTAGAGGATCTTAATGTCAACGATCTAAAGTACATCAAGTCAAGCCAAGACTTAAATATTTTTGAAGAATAAGCAGCAGAACAAGTACGAATTATTAGCAAACCTTGAGTGAGGACAGGCGTTGAGTTTTTGCTGGAGGCGAATTCAAATTCATGTACAAGAGTCTAGCTTGTTTTGGCTGTGATCAGTGCGTGTGGCTTAGCTGTTCTTTATGGTTATCTTGTTCATGTCCTAATTGTGTTAGACTTTACTTGGGAGCAAAGTAATGTTTTATTTTACATTGATTGAATTTTCATAAACTCTTTTTTTTTTGTTCATAATGTCAATATTCTTTGTTATATAGTACGTGCTATGAGATATGAGACGCTTCTTTATTTCTGTCTGCATGCATTTTATTTGATTTGGAATTCCCAATGAATAAAAGGAAACGCTTTGATTAGTGACCTTGAAAGAGAAACTCAGATTAAAAATTCAAATCTTAGCTTCAGAAAACAAAACTGGCTTTGGTAAAACGTTTCTTGGTGGCTCTGTAACAGAAACGAGGAGAGAAACTTAAGCACCAAATGGGTTTCTTGTAGGGTACGTCCAGAAGAAGAAGCGGAGATACATTGTGCGTCAAGGTTCTTAGAGGTTTACAATTATATACTCCAAGAACAGAATGCTTATGGACAATCTTTAGCAGGAGAGGAGAGTTTTCCAAGGACAACTCAAAAGTCGATTTTCCATCTCTCTTTTTTTCTCTAGCGCTCTCTTTGCGACGAACATATCTTAACAGGAATTCATATATATTGTTGGATTAAGCTTGAAGAAAGCTTAAACAACAAGTTTCTAATAGGTTTAGGAAAAGGAAATTTCTAGGAGTTATCTAGAATGTGTTTAGAAGTTATCTAAACATATAAAAGGTTTTATCTAATTGTATTAGGATTTGAGATTTACTCTCTATATAAGAGTTACCAAAGTTGTGGTATACCTTAAGAGTTTTGAGAGAGAGATTAAATGGCTTTAGGTTTTGAGTTAAGTTTCCTAAAGATTTATAAAAGAAGAGCTTTTATATCCTTGATCTAAGTATTCTAAACTCTAGATTTGGTATCAGAGCTAAGATAATCTAAAACAATGGGAGATCTCGTTCCAGTTTCTCGAGCAAAAGAAACAAACACATCATCGATACAATGTCCGATGTTGAATTCAACCAATTATACAGTTTGGGCAATAAAGATGACGATACTTCTCAAAATTCACAAAGTCTGGGAGGTGGTAGAGACGGAAACAAATGAAGGTGACAAAAACGACTTGGCCATCGGTTTGATCTTCCAATCCATACCTGAAGCACTTGTATTACAAGTTGGAGAACTTAAATCAGCGACAAAGGTTTGGAACGCCATCAAAGGACGTCACGTCGGAGCAGAAAGAGTTAGAGAAGCACGGTTACAAACCCTAATGGCTGAATTTAATCGCTTAAAGATGAAAGATACAGAGACCATTGACGACTTTAGTGGAAAGTTATCAGAAATCTGTTCAAAATCAGCTGCTTTAGGAACCAGCATAGAAGAACCCAAGGTAGTGAAAAAGTTTCTCAAGAGTATACCTCGGACGAAATATATACATATCGTGGCATCGCTTGAGCAAGTACTTGATCTAAATACAACAAGTTTTGAAGACATTGTTGGACGTCTAAAAGCATACGAAGAACGTATATACGAAGAAACAGAGGAAACTCAAGAGGATCAAAGCAAGCTAATGTATGCGAATACAGAAAATCAGCAAAATCGAAATCAAAGCTATGAACATAGAGGCAGGGGTCGTGGAGGACGTTTCTATGGCAGAGGAAGAGGACGAGGAAGATCGTATGAGCCAAGAGATTTGTCTAAAGTGGTGTGTTATCGATGTGACAAGACAAGACATTATGCGTCAAGTTGTCCGGATCGGCTACTCAAGCTTCAAGAAACACAAGAGAATGAAGAAGAGGATACTCAAGAAGCTGAGAAACTAATGGTACACGAAGTAGTGTACCTTAATGAGAGGAATGTGAAGCCGAAGGACTTTGAGACACGTTCGGACAAGGTTTGGTATCTAGATAACGGGGCTAGTAATCATATGACTGGGAATCGAAATTGGTTCACAAAAATCGACGAGATGGTCACAGGAAATGTTAGGTTTGGTGACGACTCGCGTATTGATATCAAAGGAAAAGGCTCGATCTTATTTGTGGCCAAAGGTGGTGAGAAGAAAGTACTAGCCGATGTGTATTACATACCAGATCTTAAGAGCAATATTATTAGCTTGGGACAAGCTACTGAATCAGGATGTGATGTCAGAATGAGGGAGGATTACCTGACATTACATGACCGAGACGGAAACTTGCTTGTAAAAGCAAAACGATCTCAAAACAGGTTGTACAAAGTCAATTTGGAGGTGGAGAATACGAAGTGCCTACAGATAGTGACATCAAGAGACTCAAGATGGCACTCCAGACTAGACCATATTAGCAATGAGAAAATCAAATCAATGGTGAAAAATAAATTAGTTGTCGGAATATCTAGTGCTCCAAAAGAAAAGGAAACGTGTGTGTCATGCTTACTTGGGAAGCAAGCAAGGAAAGCCTTCCCCAAAGCGACTTCATATCGAGCATCTCGAGCTCTAGAACTCGTCCATGGTGATCTCTGCGGTCCTATATCACCTCCCACAGCTGCGAAGAAGAGATATATATTTGTGTTAGTTGATGATTACTCTCGCTACATGTGGTCACTATTGCTCCAAGAGAAAAGTGAAGCGTTTGCGAAGTTTAAAACATTTAAAGCAATGGTTGAAAAAGAAATAGGAGCTGCTATCAGTACTTTCAGAACAGACCGAGGTGGAGAATTCCTATCCCAAGAGTTTCAAACGTTCTGCAAGCAAAAGGGCATCAGTAGACACTTAACCGCACCGTATACACCGCAGCAGAACGGAGTAGTTGAAAGGCGGAATAGGACATTGTTAGAGATGACCAGAAGCATCTTAAAACACATGAGCATGCCTAATTATCTATGGGGAGAAGCTGTGAGGCATGCGACCTATCTTATAAACAGAGTGGAAACAAGATCCTTAACTGATCAAACACCATACGAAGCACTCAAGAAGAGGAGACCAAATATTGAGCACCTACGTGTTTTTGGATGCATAAGCTATGCAAAGGTTGAGGTTCCACATCTGAAAAAACTGGATGATAGGTCGCGAATGCTTGTGTATCTCGGGAAAGAACCAGGAACGAAAGCTTACCGCCTCTTGGATCTTACAAAGAAAAAAATCATAGTAAGTAGAGATGTGATTTTCCACGAAAGCAGGGGATGGCAATGGAGCAAATCGGATACAGAATCTCATATGGAACCAGGGATTTTTACGGTAGACCTTGGAGAGTTTGTAAACAACACGACTAAGGAGAAGGAAACTATCGAAAAAACAGGGGAAACCAAAGAAGATGATGATGATTCTGTTGAAGATGTCTCAGACGAAACAGAGATTATGGAACCAGAGCAAATCGAACCAGTGTTAAGAAGATCAACAAGACTAGTAAGAAAACCGAGCTATCTGAATGATTTTGTGATGCTATCAGAGATTGAAAGTGAATATCTCTTGTTAGTAATTAATGAAGAACCATGGGATTTCAAAGAAGCAAACAAATTGAAGGAATGGAGAGATGCTTGCAAAGAAGAAATTCTGTCAATAACAAAAAACAGAATTTGGAGTCTAGTTGATCTTCCCGTTGGATGCAAGCCGATCGGATTAAAATGGGTCTTCAAACTCAAACGCAATTCTGACGGCAGCATAAACAAGTACAAAGCCAGGCTCGTCGCAAAGGGCTATGTACAGAGGCACGGCATAGACTTTGATGAGGTATTTGCTCCGGTTGCTAGAATTGAAACGATCAGATTCCTTATTGCTCTTGCTGCATCGAATAGTTGGGAGGTGCACCATCTAGACGTAAAAACAGCATTCCTCCATGGGGAATTGAAGGAAGACGTTTACGTTCTGCAGCCTGAGGGATTCATAACCAAAGGAAGTGAGGAGAAAGTCTACAAGCTGCACAAAGCCCTTTATGGGCTAAGACAAGCACCACGGGCTTGGAACACCAAGCTGAACAAAATTTTGATGGAACTAGGTTTTGCGAAGTGTTCCAAAGAGCCCTCGTTATACAGGAAGCCGGAGGAGAAAGGACTTCTTATTGTAGCCGTGTATGTGGATGACCTGTTGGTCACAGGTTCTAGCTTGGACCTGATACATGATTTCAAAAGAAACATGGCGGGTAAATTTGAGATGAGTGACTTAGGCAAGCTTACATACTATCTCGGAATAGAAGTTCTTCAAGAAGAGAATGGGATCGTACTAAAGCAGGAAAGATATGCAAGAAAAATCTTAGAAGAAGCTGGAATGAGTGAGTGCAACTCAGTTCACATACCGATGGATGCTGGTTTAAAGCTCTCCAAAGCACAAGATGAAAAACGCATTGATGAGCATGACTATAGAAGAAATATCGGATGCCTTAGATACCTACTGCATACTCGGCCAGATCTCTCTTTCTCTGTTGGGGTTTTAAGCCGATATATGCAAGAACCAAGGGAGTCACATGGAGCTGCATTAAAACAGGTTTTAAGGTATCTTCAAGGAACACTCTCTTATGGTCTTTATTTCAAGCAAGGAATGGATACAGGTCTTATAGGCTATAGTGATAGTAGTCACAATGTGGACATTGATGATGGAAAAAGCACTACTGGTCATATCTTTTATCTTAATGGATGTCTGATCACATGGTGCTCACAAAAACAAGAAGTAGTGGCCTTATCTTCTTGTGAGGCAGAATTCATGGCAGCCACAGAAGCAGCTAAGCAGGCCATTTGGTTACAAGAGCTCTTTGCCGAAGTCATTGGAACGAGTTGTGAGAAGGTGACAGTACGAGTTGATAATAAATCGGCAATAGCACTTACAAAAAATCCAGTGTTTCATGGGCGCAGTAAACACATCCACAGAAGATACCATTTCATACGAGAGTGCGTTGAAAACAATCAAGTTGATGTTGAGCATGTTCCTGGCAGCGAGCAAAAGGCTGATATCTTAACCAAGGCATTGGCAAGAAACAAATTCAAGGAGATGAGAGATCTCATAGGAGTTCATGAAGTGTCAAAGAGTGACTTCAAGCTTAAGGAGGTGAATGTTGGATTAAGCTTGAAGAAAGCTTAAACAACAAGTTTCTAATAGGTTTAGGAAAAGGAAATTTCTAGGAGTTATCTAGAATGTGTTTAGGAGTTATCTAAACATATAAAAAGTTTTATCTAATTGTATTAGGATTTGAGATTTACTCTCTATATAAGAGTTACCAAAGTTATGGTATACCTTAAGAGTTTTGAGAAAGAGATTAAAGGGCTTTAGGTTTTGAGTTAAGTTTCCTAAAGATTTATAAAAGAAGAGCTTTTATATCTTTGATCTAAGTATTCTAAACTCTAGATATATGAGCTGGCCCAAATTTCTTACGTTCTCCGCTTAAAACCTCAAACTTTGTTTTTTGACAAAAGAAAACCATAGTCTCTTTCATTTATAACCAAAGTCCCAACCAACTCATTCAGTAATTTACAGATGACCAGAGAGCTCTTGTTGTTCTCACTTTCAATACAAACGTTCTTTCAAAATCTTACCCTATAAAATCCTAAGCATGTATATCTATCTACAACAATGAAAAGAGTAGAGTACAAAAGATAAAAATGACCAAAAAAGAAATCTTTTGTTTTCTTCTTCTTCTTAAACAATAAAAATAAAAAGTAAAAACAAAAGAACACTTCTTCTTTAGCTCTCTATAAAGACTTTCCTTGAGGTTAACACAAAAACAAATCATCTATTAAACAAACGTGAAGTTAAATTTAAGCTGCAGAAGTTAATCTCAGCTGTTGCTGTTGAGATTCACCAGTCATTGGATCGTTTGTGTTTTGGCTCTCCAATGGCATGTACTGAGACATAATCGCCATGATTTCTGAATCCATGTAAGACTGCATTTTGGTTTTGACAAGAGAGAATCATGATGACGACGATGAATTTATAGATTCGTTAAGAGAAGCAAAAGTGTAAAAACATACCCTGAGACGATACTTGTAGAATACGTAACCTGCTACACAGATACCTGCAACGGCAGCTAGGATCACAAACGTGAAGAACCATCCGATTCTTGATCCGCTTCTCTCTGCGAAGAAACCAAAAAAAAAAAAAAAACAAGAATGAGATATATGATCAAGTTTAGATCTTGATTGTTTGTTTAGACATTTACCGATACAAGTGTCTTGTTCTTTCATATAGAGACGATTGCCAGAGCATTTGCAATCAAAGCCTCCCCATTTGTTCTTACACTTGCATCCATCACATTGACAAGCTGATTGCTCCTTGCATTCATCAATGTCTATAGTAGACATATAAACAAGATGAATCAGTTTAAGAAAACATAATGAGAGAATTTGAAATATTAGTGGGGAAAAAAGAATTCACCTTCACATTTAAGACCATCTCCTTTAAAGCCTGTAGGACAACGACATCCCGATGTCTCCGAGTTCTGCTTTCAAAAAATTAGAGAAAAAAGTCGTTAAAAATAGAAACTTGGATGACAAGTTTTAAAGTTTATCATTATTACACAACAGGTTGAGTCACTTAACCGAACAAGCGGAGAAAGTTACGCCCTTTTTGGTTTCAGACCAGCAACCTCCTTGATTCATTGAACATCTCGCAGGTCCATAAGCTGTTATAAGATTCAAGCAAATATGACTTCTTTTTTTCAAAATCAGAACACAAAATGTTTCTACTTAAGTTTTTCTAACAATATAGAAAGTTCAAGAACAACATACGTTGACATGAAGTATAGCCATCTCCTTTATACTGCACACCATTCACAACAGGGCATTCACAAACCCTTCCCCTAAATGTGTCCTGATAGAATCCAATTTAGGTGGAAAAAAACACATCAATATCTATGAGAAAAAAATAAGAAGATAAAACTAATGTTTTTTCGGTATTAATCAAGTACCTTGCAAGCTGTTACATTAGATTTCTTGTCCTGCCAACACCCTCCATTTGCTTCGAGGCATTCGTTTGTTTCGATATCTGTATCAAAAGAGTAAAAGAAGATTTCTTTAGTATTCTATTATCAGAAGACGATTAGGTTACAAGTGGAAATTGGTTTAACCTCCACTTAGACAGATCCCGGGTTCGGTTCTTTCCTTGAACCCTGAACATATAGCCTTTAGTACCGCATTTCTCTCAAGTTTACCTGAGCAATGAATCAGATTAAGAAGTTAAGAATCTTTCACTTTCCTGTAACATATTGTATCCTAAACAAACATGGTACAAATGAGAATATAGGAATGAAACAAACCGCGGTATTGAGCATTGTTGATGATCAATGTTGGCAAGATTGTGACATCCCCACGGTCTCCTTGTCCTACCTTTGGTTAGAGAGAAGTCTAAACTTGGTGAACTGATTTCAAAGATGGTTTATAGACGCAGACAAGGAAAAAAACAACTACCTGAAGCGCTTGCTCAGCTTTCAAAACCTCATTCTCCACATCAGCGCCAGGATCACCCATACATTTCTTGATCTTGTCAAGTGGCAACCCTGAGAATAAGAGGATTCTTAAGACCCATTATATGAAGAAAAGATGCGGAAACGTTTGTGAAGTCTCTTACCGAGAGATTCCACAACACTCTCTGCACATTCTTTGCTATACTTTTTCTCCTTCATTGAACACCTGATGTGAAAATCAGTCACATAGTCCCACCAAACCCAAGACCGGTTATTCTCTTTTGCTACTCTATGAACACATAGCTGTCTCAGATTCTCGAACACGATGTCTTTCCCATCGTATCCATCTCCAAAGTCTTGTTCAGGGTCAGGAGCACAATACCTCCCTTGGTTTATACACTGAGACTTACACTGATTGCTGGAAACATAATCTTTAGGACAAAACCATGTAATGTAATGAGGTGTGAACAAAGAGTACCCTCCTTTTTCGAGGATCTGAGCGTGCCCTTTAAAGTTCTTGACGAAATTCATCTGCTCATCGCATCTTGCACCACACTCATCATTCGTGTTAGTCCATAGCTCATACTCAACTCTCTCATCTGGATGAGGCAATGACTCGCTCCAGTCTATCTTCAGGACTACTTCCTCTCCGTTTTTAAGAGCTTTCTTGAGAGTATTAGCGAAAGATAGGTCGATCAAAGCCGATGGAATGCTGATCTTCTCTATAAATTCATCAGCTTCTTTGGATTCTTCAGGTGAATCCATTGTTATCAGTGGCTCGTCGACGTTATCAGCTACAAGAACTGCTGCTGCACCGGATTGTTGGCCGTTCCATACCTTTAATGCAAAGTAGCACTCTAATGCAAACACAAACAAAAAAAAAAAATAATCAAAACCGAATCTTTACCATCCCCAATGCTTCAATCATAAATAGCTTTTGAGTTCTTCTATAACTAGATTGAGATTGAGGCAAGTCTCATATGTAAATGGCAGAACTTTATATATTTAAACAGAAGTTTGGAACATATTAAATTTGCAGAGCTAATTTGATAAGAAAAATGTAGACAAGATATTGAAAGATGTAAACTTTAAGACTTAGATAATGAGTTCTTCTACAAACTAAATTTGAGATTGAGACAAATCTTGCATATAAAGGACATAACTTTCTAACTCTAACCATAAAATTTTGGAACATACCAAATTTGCAGTGGTATTTGGATCAAAGGAGATTAAAAGATGTAAAGTAAGACTTCAAAATAAAAAGATTTTATAAAGTTCTTATCCAAAGTAAATTGAAATTGAGACAAGTTTCCTATGTAAATGACAAAAAACTTTCTGTTTCTAATCAGAAATGTGGAAGATTCTCCAGTCTGCAGAGCAATTTGGATCAAAAAGGAGATTGAAAAAGATGTAAAACCAAGACTGAAAAAAGAGAGTTATACAACTAAATTGAGATCAGACAAGTCTCTTATGTAAATGACAAAAACTTTCTATATCTAACCGGAAACTTAAAAGAACATTCTCTAATTTGCAGAGCAATTTGGATTAAAAACAAAAAGAAAAGAAGTCATTGCAGATAAAACAGTTACCTCCACGATCGATGATTAAGATGGTAGGACGAGGGAATTTGGGTTTAAAAGTTTTTTCAAAAGAGTCGCATCCATAAGCTCCTTTACCGGCGTAGACGACGGAGCCGATCATGTAACCACCGTAGTTAGGAACGCCGAAGTTAGCGATGGCTGCGTCGTGTTTCGACCGCATTGCCAAAGGGTTTAGGATCGTGACGCTGCTCTTCTCCACGATGAATCTCCCGAAAACGCCGTTGACCACCATGGTCAACGCTAGAAACAGAGCCAAGGTGGCTCCTTTATTGATCAAAGACATTGTTTCCGATTTGAAAAAAAAAAACAGATTTTGAAAACTTGGGCTTCGAGTGGGTTTTATGTTTTCTTTCCTGAGAAAGTGGAAAGTAATGATTTTCTCTGTTTTTCGGTTTTCTGTAGATTTTCCCGGGAAAATGGAGATCTTAAACAGAGTTAGGTGATTCGAATTGTCTTCATTTTCTATTGGTTTTCATGGGAAAGTGAGGGGAAATAATATGGAAAATTAGCTTAGATGGGAACAAAATCCAGAGGGAAAAGAATTGAGTTTGCGGGAAAGTGTGTCTCTGTTTTCGATTTTTTTCTCGAGGACTTTTCCTAAATTTTTCTCGAGAAAAAAAAAGAGTTCTTAACGTAAAGTGAACGGGAGAGAAGATGACTTGACAGAGTCAGCGGAACTAACCATGTCTCTGCAACTACTGATTCAACAAACTTCTCTCTCTTTTTTTTTATATAATTTTTCTAAATTATTGTGACGAGAAAAGAAATTAACGTTTTCTTAGAATGTAAGGCAATCGTGAGATCCTATCATTTTATTCAAAGCTCCAAACTTTAAGCTTAATCAAGTGGAAAACGTTAAAAGAATTGGGTAGGCTAAGTCTACAAGTTTCAATTTTTATCCGGATACTTCAAGTTCAAATGTTAAATATATTTAGGAAAAAATAACTAAAGTTTTAAGAAAACTACAATAAGTAAGGTTTTAAGAAAACTGCTCAAGTATTGATCACAAAAATCAAGACCATTGCTTACTTTGTTGACTTTGGAAAAATGCATAGTCTATTGAAGTACCATATGGGTTAAGTTAGAGAATCATCCAAACACCGATGTGACAATTACTAGGAGACATGAATATTTGCATAATCAACATATATTATTAAATGAAATATCCAACCTAATTGTTAGCTTTACCATTATTCCAAAATTATTTAAGGCAGACCATGAGTATGATGTGTTTATAGGACATGATGTGATTATTTTAATACATTCGGGAAAATAGTTACAAACATGCAAAGACCAAGTCTCTGGCATAATAATGATTAGAATGCAATGAACTAGTTTATACAATATATTTATATATGTTCTACTTGTGGGAGGAGAGAAAATGATTGTATTCACTAGACAAGATGTTAATATCTATATATATGGTTATATGCAAACAATTATTTATATTGACCCATTTCATATACAGAAAAAAGGAAATATGGTATTCTATTAGAGAAATCGAATTGGAGCTTCTACAAGCATATAATAATGGAGATAAAATAGCTAATGGTAAGAAAAATAAAAGTAGAAAGAGATTAAGACAATGATGTTCAAAATAACATTTTCTTCACAACCACATTCATAGATCAGCAGCATACATTGCCACGAATATTCAAATTTTGCTACAGGTACCAAATAAGAGAATTCACAAACAAAATCTTATATTGCAATTTGCAAAAGCACATTTCACAAAAGCCAATTAACACTAATGTTACCAAGCCATATCAAAAGAGGGAACTGAACCAAGGCTAAAAACAGCAGAAGGTAATGATGTTTACTCGAGTCATAACTCCTTACTTCAGCAAACAGAACACGTTTCATCGTCTTCACCAAGAAAATCCCAGTGCATAAACACGTCCATGGCATCAACGCGTAGTACGAGTATCCCCACATAATCTTGGCGAAACCCGCAAGACATAGACCAGCAAAAGCATAGCCTCCATATGCCACAATGTCTAGTAAAGGCGCCTCTCCGCTACCGAGTGATAGAAGCGTTACTTTCAGGAGCATCACTTGCAAAAACCAACCAACCAATCCTTTCACAAACAGCCAATTCAAAGCTTCCGGTGTAAACCTATATAAATTCGGGTTTGAAAAAGGATTTAATAATCTTTGGTGTCCACATCAATCATTCAAGCCCTAAGAATAAAACTTTAAGAGAGAACCATACAGAGAAAGATTAAGCACAAAACTTACTTTCCATTAAGTCCCAGTGAAAATCCAGCAAGAACAACGTATGTGCCAAATGCCATAAACGGAATGTACAAGTCAGGCGCATTGATATCATAGATTGGAGGTTTGTATGAGAGCCTACCACCAACTGGTTCAGATATTCTGGTCCAATGTCCCTAAAGGTTTGAAGCAGAACACACACTAGTTTTTAACTAACGGCTGGTTTGAGAAGGTCTCAAACAGAAGATAAGAGAGAGAACAAGCTTACCCGGTGAAGAAAGGGAAAGAGAACAACCTTCAATTTGTTCCTCACATATTGATCATTCACTTGGAAATAGTATTGAGGATCAGAGAAGTAACGAGTTATCTGTTTCATTTTTAAGAAGAAAGAAAAAACGAACTTCAAGACGATGAAAATCAGATATCAGATGGAATCACCAAGTATTTCACTTACATTGCTCTGCACATACTCAGAGCTTGATCCTAAGATCCTCTCCCCGTACGCTCCCAAGCCGCCACGGATAAAACCCGAGCCAGCTCCAGTGAAGGGATTCCCAAACGGACCAGGCTCAGGGTTTCCTGGAGGTCTTGGCATCCCTTGTTGAGGTCCCATGTTATTGTACATCTCTGTAATCAAACGAAAACCATTACAAATCAACACATCTTATCTCAAAGCAACCACAAGACAAACCCATTGTCAATGCACCTCCTAGTTTTGAAGTCTAGCATTTTGTATACTAACATTTTTCTTCTTAGCAAGACATAAGCTTCACAGAAACTACAAACTGTAAGACCAAATCTTTAGTGCCCGAGAAGGCTACAAATAATCAGATATAGAGATTCATCACCAGGTCCTAATATCGATGATCCAGATTCATAACCTCAATTTGTAAAACAACTTCCAATTGCTTTCCGATTTCGATCACGAGAATGCACAACCAAACACATCCCACTATAGATCTATAATTCAACTCAACAGGAAAAACCCAAGATTATCTCACCATTCAATTTCAAGTTCAACAAACACAAACCAATCCATCGAAGATCTCATTACTAATCGAGAAACAACACAATCACATCACGAAGAAATTCCACAACTGATCCACACAAAAAAAAAACTAACCCGAAAAAGAATGGGAAGAGATTAAATCTTCGAAGCGAATGTTCAAGCTTTCTTCTAATAGAAACAATGGATTCTCCTGAGAAATCTACCACCGTGTGTGATCTGCGCCGGGACGAATAGGAAGAGATGTTTCCGAGTTCGATGAAATTTTGCTTCGGGCTTACAAATAACGTTATTGGGCCATTAACCAGAAGAAACTTATGGGCCTTAACCTCGGATACGATACAACTAAACTAGTAACCAAACAGAAGCCGAACAACTTCTCAGTTCCTCAATTAGGTTTAGACCATATAAACAATCCGACGCTGAAAATCAAAAAGCCCTTTTCCGTCGCAAGCCCTAATTTCGCATCTCCCCAAGGTTGATTTCTAGCGCAACGATGGCGAAATCGATGAGATGCAAGAGGGTGAAGAGATTGAGAGCTATAAGAAGAGAAATAGTTGAGAAGGAATCATTCACCCAAACTAGAGAAGACGCGAAATCCGCCGCCATCGCGGCCGCACTCGCCGCCCCGAAGTTACCGGTTCGTCTACCACCACCTTCGCCGTTCATGGAAGTTGCGACGCCGACCTCAGAGTCTGTTTCTGCCTCCGCTACTATCGCCAACGAGATGGGTATGTTTGGTTTCTACTGTAGTAGCGTCGATTTCTCAATGTACACTTGATTTGTATATGTTGATGATAGTATCGCTGTTTCATTTTGTTCGTTTGTGATCGATATGCTTTTAGATAAGAATTTTCTGCTAAAGTTGATACTTTGAAATTCATCAGTATTAGATATTTTAGCTGAAATCTTTGAAGAGTTAGTTCGTTGCTCTTGGGAAGGTTATTGCTTCTTCACTTTCTGTAGCCATGTGACTATCAAATTTAATGGTGTGAATGCATAAAGAAGATGTTTTGTGATCTTGTGTGCTATGAGGAAACCGTATCAGTTCTGTATCATTCTAAAAGCTGGTTCCTGGTTTTATGATATTAAATTCTGGTCACATTTGCATCTACAAGTATACTGTCTTCTTTCAAGCTAAATTATTCGTTTTCTTGATTCCTTTTGGAAACATTAATTTTTTAGATGATTCTAACTCTTACGTCTACTATCTTTGAAAGTGTTGTTAATTTGGCTATGCTCTGTTTTGGGTGGTATCATTGTTTGTAGATGTGGAAATGGATGATGAGAAGCAAAACAAGTCGCTAAAACCCATAGGGAGGAAGTTGAAGAAAAAGTTTAAGATGGGGATGAAGAATCGTCGCAGTAAGGGTTTCCTTCGAGGCAAGCGAGTCTAGATTCTCTAGGTTTAACCAGCAAACTGGTTTGTTTCAGCTCGGATAATTTTGTTCCCTCTAAATTCCCAGGTTCTTAAATGTGTTAGAATATATCTTCCTTTGTACTGTTTTACTTCGTGAGACTCAGTATTATAGAAAACCTTTAAAAAAAACATGATTTTGAACCTAAGACGTCTGATTATGTCCCATCTTCCAGCTTCTTGCACCCAAAGCTATCATGACATGTATTTTTCCTTGACTGATATATAACATTTAGGTTCTGCAAACATAATGAAACTTTGACACATTGTTGGACCGAGAAAAATCATGCATCGTCTTGGTCAAGTATAATGGTAATTGTTCATTCAACTCAGTAATGTGTGCTTAATGTAAGCTCACTAGTGTCAGATAACTTGTAACGAATATACTCAGTATAAAACAAGATTCACATCTTTGTTGTTGTTGGGACAACAAAGTACAATAGAAAAGAGCTCAAAATTTAAACCAAACAAGAAAATTACTTTTAAAAAAACAAAAGATTGTTTTAGAAACTCAAGAGGGATGATTTATTAGTAAGATTTGGAGTTTGGTTTGCTACAAACCCTCCTGATCTCTCCGTCACGGTCTTCACCAGTAATAACACCAACATTGACCAGCTTAGCCATCGACACAGCAAACTGCTGCTTGAACATCTGAGGCGGCTGCTCGGCGAAAGCCTTCACAAGCGGAGCGGTCCTCGGGTCCTTCACAAGCTCCTGATCAGTCGTCAAAACTCCCATATGCTTCTGAAGATTAACGTAATACTGATTATCGAACGTAACCGGAGTCACGACGTCTAGGTCAACGGTCTCGGAATCCCAACGACACTTGCGACGCAAGTAATCTGCCAATTTGGTGTCAATGGCCGGATCAGTTCCATGTGTTGCGTTGAAGTTGTAAAGCCTAGACTGGATGGTTCCACAGTTGGCTTTTCCGATGGTGTGTGCTCCGGAGAGGACAACTAGGTCGAGGATGTTGAGTCCATAAGACTGAAACGTCTCCAGAAGACCGGTGACGTCACGGCGGCCTGAAGGGACTTTCTCAACGTCTCTAGCGTATGAGTTCTTGGAGTCACGACGACCGTAGGCGTTTGGCCAGTAAGGACCACCGAGTTGGTAGGTTGCGTCGCGGCTAGCTGCGATTAGGATGTCGGCGCAGGAGACTAATCCTTTGCAAGATTTCTCCATCTCGGACTTGATATCTTCGATTAGCTCGAAGCCTCTTAGGGTTTTGCTCGCCGGAGATTTTCTCTCTGATCCTTCGTGGTCTAGAAGAACCGACGCATCACATCCCTGAAAGTTGTCATTTCCACAAAAGAGTTGTGTTACCTTTGAAAATGTGTATATTATAGATATGTTTAAAACAATGAGGTGCGTTTATGCATAGAAGAAATTGCATAACTCCATCTTCAATATGGAGAAACTTATTTTCTTACTGACTATTAATGTTAGGTTTTGGACCTTTGGTGGGTAACTCAACGAATGGTTACGTGATTTCACATAATAAAGCAAAATCGTTATTTATGTATATAAAGTTAGCGATTAAAATCAAATGAATTCCATCATTTCATGGAATTCAGTTATATCAAGTTTTTCAGTTTATGTCATGGAATTCCATCATTCCAAAATTTGAAAATGTTACCATTTACCAATATGAATCCTAATAACCTTCAATTTACACCCATTTGTAGACAATGCAAACTATACAATACATATATGATATATGAATCCAAAACATAAGCTACCTATATATAGCATATGGACTATCGTATATATTGAGTACTATACACAACTGAATGATTATTACTATTGTATAAAAGCTTACGAAAGAAGATATAATTGCTATACCGTGACGCCGCAATCGTGGAAAACAAGGCGGAGGAGGGCGGGCCCGAGGGTAGAGTCTCTCTTTGTCCATTCTCTCACTTTGGTATCAACGATTTTCTCAAAATTCGGACAAATCTTATCATAATAACTCAACGATAATAGATTGTCCAAAGGAAACCATGAGTTTGTGTCATCTTCCTCCTCCTCGCCTCCGTATCCTCCTACTTCAGGTAAGTCTTTTTTGCCAGCCGATACCGGCCAGGCCACGAGAATCACGAGTAGGACGACGACTGAGACCACGGCCAACTTCATTATTTTGCCTTTTGTTTTATGTCTTTCTCAATTTGATTGGATTTGAATTCGTTTGATGTGCTCTAGATGAGAGCAGTGCATATATATATATATATATATTTGGTTTAGAAAATAATGTGATGGTTTTACGTGGGAAGCACAACTTTAAGATGTGATTATTCAAACGACTTGCTTGCATGTTGTATATGTGATGTTTATGAATTTTTTTTTTTTTTGTCGGCCATGTTTATGATTAATATCTGATTCGTTTTTATATGAGAAAATAAATTAATAATTTGATTTATAAGGATCTTTGTATTATTGAAAATCGGGGTTTTGACTTATTTGGAATAGACTTATTATTAAATTTTTGGTCAACTTGGATTGGGTTCTTTTATTTTGTTCTTTGGTCGGTTTTATGAGGTGCTAATCTTTATAAAGTTCGTGTATGATCACATAACGTTAAACCCCGGACTATGGCACAGTAATTGTGTGTTATCGAGTACTTGGTTAAGCAAATCGTGAGATTTCAAAATCAGTTTAATTTATTAATGGCACTTTATTGTGGTTGCCGTTTGTCAGTTTTGGTAAGAGGGTCTTTACCACTTTTATGGAGTTCAACCAAAATTATACCTTTTCTTTTCTGTTTCACAAAAAGTATTTTATGTTGAGGTTTACGGTTCTTTTACAAATTTTATCGTTTTGTATTTTCAAAATCATGAATCAAATTTACAGCTAATAAATATATTTTCAAGCGGATTAGTTAACTAAGGTTGAAGGTCGTGAAAAACAAAAAAAAACCAATCACATCCTTAGCTAACACATCAACAGAAATAGCTGGAGATTATTCATAAAAATCTTCATCTTCTTGTGAATCGTCCACAGTGTCCTTAAGTTACTTAACTTTCATGGAACGACCAATATGTTAGCATTTAATGTTTGAGCAACAATGGTCGATACATTGATTGCGTGTTGTTGCGTTGGAACTTGTATTACGTTTTTAGTCGTTATCTTCTTTGAATATCCTTCAAAAGCAATTCTTAAATAAACTTAGTGCGTAAACTAACAAGTGAATATTAAAACCAAAAAATGTAACAAGTGTATAAATATGTGAAATGACCTACGTTTTCTATAAAATTCTTTATTAGAGGTCCCAGCAGCCTAGAGTTAGAACAAACACCAATTTCTGCAAATTTTTGCCTATATACACTAAACAACAAATAGTCTAAATACTAAATCTAAATTGAAAAATGTTAATCTAGAAGAAACAAAGCGACATCTTCACTTATTTTTGACCTGATCAATATCGGTTTACTCTCGTCAACCAATTGGTTTTCATCAATATTCCACCGCCAAAAAGAATTTTGTCCTCCTTGTTCATTGGAATCTTCAGAAAACCCTTTTTTCTTCATCTATGCGCATGTGGCTCTACTTCCCCAAAGCAATCTATTCGGATCGGATACTCACCAATGGCGGAGCTAGTTCACATTGAGGGGGGTCAGTTCACTACAAGAATATCGGGTATTTAAAGCACACTAATATAGCGTTTATGGTCATTTTGCTATGGTTATAACATCGTCGGGTTTAAGATAGCGGTCGTGTTTTTGCAAACGCTATCGTATTATATTACTCACAATTTTTGCGTATTATTTTTTAATCAAAGGTAACTTCAATAGCAGATACCTCATACAAACGTTATTAAAAATGATAGGAGGTAAATTTTTACATGCGCGGAACACTTAGAAAAAAAAAGGCTCCATTTCCAGAATTCCCAAATTAAGTCGAGGCAAAACCTAAATTTTTTATTCTTCCCCCTTTTGATTCTTGTGTTGCGTGATTAGCTCAATTCAAGTCTCCCTCACTCAAATCTCCTCTAAATTTTCATGCCATTTCACTCAAAAAGGCTCAATTTGACCTATTTCGTTCCGACATTGTAAATCTCCATCGATTTCACTCTCGTCTTGTATGCTCTCACTCTCAGTCTCGTACACTCTCATTGTAAATCTTAATCTCTCCGTCAAATCCCTCCGTGAAATCTCTCCGGCTTACTCGCTCCGTCTTAATCTCTCCTTCTCCGTCAAATTCTAAGGCAAGATGAATCTCTCCTTAATCTCGTCACTCTTTGTTTGGGTTAAATATTCATTTCTATTTTGTTAAATTTTAATTGATTTTATTTTTATTTTTATTTGTAGTTCAAGCAAGAGAGAACAAACTCTATCAGGTATCTCATTTGTAGTTCGATTTGCACATTTTGTTGTTCTTTGAGAACTGTTGTTGTGTCTTAACGTGATTGTACTTCTGGTAATTGCGTGTTGTGTCTGAACAATTTTTCGGAGCTGTTGATAAATGGATAAAGGTTGGGTCTGGTTACCAAGGTATTCACACTTTCATTACTCTACCTTTGTGTTAAGATTTCAGTGATTAGAGATTTGTGTTTGATAAATGGATAAAGTTTGTGTTTGATAAAGTTTTTTACTTTTATTTATAGGAATAGCCTTCAGTATGAGGAAAGAGCAACTAAGTTTGTGTTTGATTCTGCAAGCCGTTTGGGTAATCCAGCTGAAATGTTCTGCCCTTGTGTTGATTGTCGCAACGTTTGCCATCAGTCAACTGAGACAGTGTTGGAACATCTAGTTATTAGAGGGATGGATCTGAAGTACAAGAGAACTCAATGTTGGAGTAAACACGGGGATATAAGTGAGCAGCCAACGTATAATCATACATCAGAGTATGAGGCATATGATTTGATCAGGACAGCCTTTATGGGGACTGAAGGGAAGCAGTCATCTCAGCAGCCGAATGTAGATGAGTTTGAGGATACTGACATTGAAGGAGAAGCTGAGTTTAGAAAGAAGTTAGAGGATGCATAAACACCATTGTACTCGACGTGTGTGAACTACACCAAGGTTTCTGCAATTATGGGACTCTACCGGATTAAAGTCAAGAGTGGGATGTCCGAGAACTACTTTGATCAGCTGCTTACGCTAGTTCACGAGATGCTACCTGGAGACAATGTGCTGCCTAAGTCTACAGACGAGATGAAGAAATTTTTGAAGATCTTTGGTTTTGGTTATGATGTTATTCACGCATGCAAGAATGATTGCATTCTGTACCGGAAGCAGTATGCAGATTTGGTGAGCTGTCCAAGATGTACTGAACCAAGATGGGGAAGGGATAAGCACACTGGTGAGAAGAAAAAAGGGATTCCAGCAAAAGTGCTTCGGTATTTTCCTGTAAAGATAGATTTAGGAGGATGTTTAGGTCAAACAGATTAGCTGAGGATTTGCGGTGGCACATCAATAATGCTACTGTTGATGTAACTATGCGGCATCCAGTTGACTCATTGACTTGGGTTCAGGTGAACAATAAGTGGCCAGAATTTGCTGCGGAAGGGAGAAACCTTAGACTAGGTCTTTCAACGGATGGGATGAACCCTTTTTCTCTTCAGAATTCCAAGTACACCACATGGCCGGTTCTCTTAGTGAATTACAACATGGGGCCAACTGAGTGTATGAAGTCTGAGAATATAATGTTGACAATGTTGATACATGGACCTACAGCACCTGGCAACAATATAGATGTCTATCTGGAACCGTTGATAGATGACTTGAAGGATTTGTGGCATGAAGGCATAGAAGTATACGACTCTTTTAAAAAGGAGAATTTCACACTTCGAGCTATGTTGTTGTGGAGTATCACTAACTTTCCAGCATTAGGGACATTAGCTGGATGTAAAGTCAAGGGGAAGCAGGCGTGTATTGTCTGTGGGAAGGACACACCTCATAGGTGGTTAAAGTTTAGTAGAAAACATATATATATGGGCAATAGGAAGCGACTGAGGCCTGGACATCCTTACAGACGGAGAAAAGGGTGGTTTGACAATACTGTGGAGGCGGGTACTGCAGCAAGAATTCAGACTGGATCAGAAATATTTGACACGCTTAAGGAGTTTATGAATGATTTCGGAAAACCTTTAAGTAAGAAAGGTAAGAGAAGAAGAATAGACGAAGATGATGATGATCCAGAGAAAGCTGAAGAACATGAGAAGGACAATGATCTTTGGAGGTGGAAAAAAAGGTCAATCTTTTTTTACTTACCTTATTGGAAGGTTCGTAGGTTTTTTCTTTTCAATTTTTGAATATAAAATTTATGTTGTTCTTGTTTCCTTAAAACTTATGTAATTATTTCTGACCAATACTTAGAATTTCATGTGACAGGATATTCTTGTACGGCATAATATTGATGTTATGCACGTGGAGAAGAATGTGTCCGACGCATTGTTGTCTATTGTGATGCATAGTGTGAAATCAAAGGATGGTTTCAAAGCACGGAAAGACTTAGAGGACATTGGTATTCGAAGCAACTTAAGAATGTACGTCGCAGTAAGCGCCAGGCAGGCATTGATGTGAGTCCTGTAGGCTCATTGCATACTAAGAAAAACAAGAAGCAAGCTCTGGAGGATACAGAAGGAGAAAAGACTTGTGAGAATTTTTATGATGATGGATGCGATGAAGAAGTAGCAGGAGACGCACCCAATGTAGATGAAGAAGTTGAAGCAGACTCACCAAATGTAGATGAATTCATCCCGCCTGCCACAAATGGCGTTGCAAGCTCTTCCGAAGTACAGACACAACAATCTGAGAACAAACAGACTAAGAGAAGAGGTCCAACTCGTATGCGAAATGTGGCAAAAAATCTCGAAGACAAGGTAGAAGTGGAATTTAATTCAGCAGGCGAGCCTATTGGTAGTGGATCAGTTACACTGTCGTCTTTCCTTGGTCCTCTTGTGAGAGAGCATGTGCCAGTCCTGTTAGATGACTGGAGACATCTAGATGACCAGACAAAAGACACAATGTGGGAGGAAATTCAGGTTATTTCCTTTTCACCTATTGGTTCAATATGCATTTAGACACAACTTGTTCAATTTGTGTTTAATTTCGTTATGTTTCAGGGGAGGTTCAATTTGAAAGACGAGTGGCAAAAGCATGTAGTCTTCTGTCAGATGGGTTGCTTGTGGAGGGCTTTGAAATCTAGGCTTGTTTCAAAAGTTGGAATACAAAAAGCAAGGTCCAAGTACAG